ACCAAGAACACTGAATTAAAATTATAACACTTAAAAAGTTATTTTCTAATTTTCTGCTTCTGCTAGCAAACAAACTGCCAGAGATGAACTCAACGTTAGACTGAACTGATTTGTTCTACTATAACAAGCTCCCTAATAATCCTCTTGTGACACTACCTGGGATGCACGAGCTCCAGAAGATTTCTGCACAATGAGAGAGGAAGGCCTTGACTCTTCCTGTTGCGAAACATACTCAGTAGGTGACAGGAAGAGGGTGAGCATGGAATGTCATCATGTCTGAGTTTAGAAGTGCATGGCTGGAAAAAACCAACTGCCTCTTCTGAGGAAGCACCCCTACAACGCAAAGAATTGTGGAAGGAGGCCCTTTTCCTTCCAGAGGCAGCAGTGAGTTCATCTCTTACTTACGTGCGTTTTCATTTCATTAGCTACAGTTGTTGACATCATGACACAGCAGATGATAGTCACCAGGATGAAGTAAAGTGCATACATGAAGCGGGTACTGGTTGACTGTTTTATCTTTGGGCAGCATTTGCAGCACAAGGAACAAGCGGCAGTACCACAGCAGCAGGCCAACTGGAAAGTAAGACAGAAAAACACAAGTCAAAAACCACCAAAGAACTCCAGCTTCAGGTTTCTGTTGCAAAAGTCAGAAAAGAAAGATGGGAGACTTCTTGTAAAATGCCAGAATTTCTCAAGTACTCTCCTCCCAGCTGAGCAACATTTAACTGGAAGCAGACAGTCTTATTTATGAAAAATCACTAGTTTTAAGCTTTCTTTCATCCATTTGCTCAGGATGAAAGACAGAATTCCTTGTATATTTGAGTTCTGTTCTACTCACAACTTGGGTCCACCAAGACAAAAAACCACAAAGCATACCAAAAAGCATGTAATGACCTTATTCAACAAGGAGAAAGGTACGAATAACTCCTGAAAGGAATTTAGCTGGATGCTCATTACTTCCTTGCTGTCAACAGTATCATTAACTTTCAAAGAAGATGGATTCACCTTCCTTGCCTTCTAATTTTAGAAAAGTTATATATAAAAATATAAATGTAAGCCTTATTTTTATACATAAGGCAGCAATGTCCTTGGCCAGGCCCTTACTTGCAATAGGCAGCAGCTTCATATAGTGTCTGTGCTTAACCCACCAGCCATGACCACAGGAGGGTTTTTGGACACTAACAGGCAGCCAGGAGCAGGGAACCTCCCTTCCAGGTCTCACTGCTGCCAAGCCAGAGTAACCCCACCCTGCTGTACTCCCAATTTCAAGGGGCTCCCTGTGGCTAGGTATCGTGCCTGGGACTCAAGCACACCAAGGCTACTTTTTCCCAGTGTTTCCTGAGCCTCTGGAGGGGCCATGGGAACACGCAGAGGGCCTTCTGCTTTCAGCAAGCAGCTCTACAAGGTGGATTCTTCCCCAGGGATTCAAAATGCACAAGTGCCATATTTAGGTCATCCAGGTAAACCTCACTGGCTTGTATTTGCCATCAGGCTCCAAACCATCACATGCTATTTTCCTCCCAGGACACTTTCTCTTCCAGGAGCAGTGACTTGTATGATAAGGAGGAGGGTGTTTGCAGACACACATATCTGATATAACTCCACAACCAGACTGATTGATCGAAGAGCCCCAAATCATTTTGATGAAGCATCATTAGAAGACTGACTCTCAGCTTATATTTTCTTGCCTTGTCTACCTCTGCAACACTCCAGCTTGGGCTTCCTGCCTTCAGCCTCGCAGAAAGGGGGTGACAGACAGGTCATTCCCTTCCTCAGCAACAGCTCTTCATTTTGCAGAAGACACAAAATGGGGGCAGTCCAACCCTGCTCCCCCATTGCTATTCTCTCACTTCACCACCACATATCCTGCTAGAGAAGGGGCCTCAAAGCACACAGCTGCTGAAACTGCTGCTGCTGCGAAACAGAAATCCTCCCCAAAACACAAAGCTCTAGCTAGGGGGATTAGACAGCATGGACTCATGTTGGCACCAAAGCTGGAAACTAAAAATACTACGTGCAAAAGTGCATCGCGCAAGTATACTTTCAAAATAGAAGGCTGTGGTGGGCTAATTGGCAATTTTATTTTTTACACGTATTGAAATTAAGTTACCTTTTACAGCATCAACACAGCTCCAGGAAATAAGGAAGCTATGGAAAGTTACCAATTCAGTAAGCAAATGGAATAATAAAATTCAAAACAAATGCATAGTAGAAAACTATAATCCACCCACTTCAGAATTAAATGGGGGAGGGGAAGAGGGTTAAGTCTAAAGGTCCTTTGAAACTGAAACGATTTGGTATCAGTCAGATCTAAAGTCTCCACAATGAACTTCCACTGCTGCCTGACCATACCATCAAAAACTGCAGTATAGAAGTAAAAAGGTATGCAGCTTTGGCATTTGTAAAGGGAACAACATTTTCCTACACCAGGTGCTAGAGAGCTGTGCCAGTAAAATCTCATCTACATCCAGCAACATGTCTGCTACTCTACTTCTTGGTCCCTGGAGCTGCTACTTAGAACAGCAAATGCTTAAATAGAATATATAGCTCATTTGTACTGCTCCACATTACTTAGACTTTAATGATAGTTTCTAATACTAAGCACATACCCCATAAGTTGCAAATTTTGGTCAAAAATACCAGTGTCTTCATCTTCTTTCAGATGCACCTCTTTAAGCAGTCTAAGTAGCCATGGAAACCATAGAAAGTTGGTTACATTATTCAGCCACAGTCTCAAATTTGATGTTTTGGGTTTTTTTGTGAGGTTTTTTTTGTCTCTTTCTTTTTTAAACTCCAGTTATAACTAAATACATTGTAGAGTAAGCCAAGATGAAATAGGTCTTATCCAAAAATAAATGAGAACAGTCTCTATCCCAAAGAGTGAGATGCTGGCCACATCCTACTGACCCAAGAAGTTTCAAAGATGTTATCTTTGGGTGACAGACTTCAAAGCCCACATATACAAAGAGTTCTCCATTAAAAAGTTGCAGTTAATGTGCAGCTACGCTACACAGATCCTCTGATGCTACATACTTTACTGCAGGTATGGCCCATCACACTTCACCTCTGCCTTTTGACTGCAGCAACAGTCTTGCCCAGGGGCTAAAAACCCACTTCAGCACTTGAAGCACTTCAATCCAGTAACAAATTCTTCTCACGTTAAAAAAAAAAAAAACAGGCTGGGAAAAAAGCGCAAGTAATGTCAAATCTTTTACAGATTTAGCTTATCATTAAATAGAAACTTAACACAGTTTGGGATTTCGGGGTCTTCTCTGGATTAGCAGGTTCACAGCTGAGCTGCAGTTTCTCTCGTGCCCGGTGGTATATCAGCTGAGCTCAGAGGTCAAATCACACAGAGACACCAGCTGTGGGTGCTAAAGCTGATCTAACTTTATTTTACAAAATGGAGGGGTTTTATATGCAGATAAGGAAGGTTCTGGAAAAAGAGGATAAGTATATATAAATTTGGACAGGGCACTGGATAAGACTTAAGACTGATATACATAATAGGGGGGATACATGCATCTTCAGATAACTACTAAGTTCTTAATTGTGAAAACTACAAGTCTCTAACTGGACATTGGCTGTCACAGCGAGGGAAAGCAGGGACACTCAATATGAGTATCAAGCAAGCTTCGTTTATTCATTATACAGTACAGCTTATATAGGATACATAATGAGATAATTAAAATTCTGTAACCTAACTCTATGATTGGTAACAGCCTTAACAGTCAGCTGCAGTCACACACAGTCTCCTAGAATCTTACACACTAACACTATTCTTAGCTCTAATATCTATATTTACCACTAGCTTTCACATATGGTTGGATGTTCACCTCTTATTTACATTCTTTTCCATGCTGCCAGACTGAGGCCTTGCTGCATTCTGCAACAATTGGCCAGTCAGAGAAACCTACTCTCCCCTGTGTAAGAGGAAGAGCTCGCTATCTAACAGACAGTCTGTTTGTCTGATGCTGTCTGGCCTATGGTGCCAGACAGTGCTTCCTTCCACCTTCTAAACTCCTGTTCCTCATCCAGGTTACTCCCAACAGTAACTCTTCCAAAGAATATGTTCTGCAGATGCTGTGCAGTTTTTAGGACAGAGACAACCCAAAAAACAAATAAAGGTCTGTAATCACTGCCAGCTGGCAGGCCTTGAAAATCCAGATCTGTACAGTTCTTCAAAGTCCTCTGATCCTCACAAGCCCAGGGTCTCCAAAAGCCCAGTGCAATGGCATCTGAAAGTCAGGCTTCTCTGGCAGGAGTCTGTCATGCTGCAGCAGGTTCTGGTTTTGAGTCCCTCTCATCCAAAGGCTCCCACAAGTCAAGCAACAAGCATAGCCACCTCAGCTCCCCCTCTAGCTTTACATCTCCTCACCAGGTAAACATCACAGTCTGACAATAATTAAAACACTACACAAATATTTATGCTTTCCATAAATCCTTACCACCAGCCAGCTCCCTCACGCTAACCTCCCATGACTCCAGGTCTCCACACCATAGATCAGCTGCCTGCTTTGTTCAGTGCTACCCTTTTGGAGCTCAAGGAAGGTATGGTGCCAGCTTGCCTGAGACCCCAAAAGTTGAAATCGTATTATACTTGAAAGAGACTGCTCCAGGATTTGAACCACCTGGATGATGGCTGACTTGACTGGTTTCACAACAGCAGCTGTGGAAAGATGTGTGGGGAATTTTTCTGTTGAAAAATATTCAAAGCACAGTTTCACAGACATTTCTTCTGGTAGCCAGGCTGGCTTAAAAGCCCCTCTCCTCTTGTCCACCAGCCCCTCACTCATTTCTTCTGCCGCACCAACACCTCACTAGCTCTGACAGTCCTATCTTGTGGTGGGGGTGACTAAATAAAGCAATCTACTGGGAAAAAAAAAAAAAAGAGGGGTAAGGAAAATGAAAAAACTACATATCAATCCTTTTCAGCTGCTGATTTATTATTCAATAGCAGCAATGGTTCTACTATTTCATTTGAGGGCACAGTGCACAGGTAGGAGGGGAAAGCAGAGGTGAATGTCTTGCAGCTGTCCTGAATGCTTTCATCCTTCTCTGAACAGATATTTCAGTGGCCTTTTCCTACTACCTCATTCGATTAGAGTGCAGGGAGTTCAAGCCAATGCAGAGGAACAACAATTTTTACATCCACACAGAGAGAAGCAGAAGTAAGCAGACATGTAACAGCCCTAGTTTGTGCAAACCACTCTTCCAAGTGCAGGTAGGCCTGGACATATTGCACACTCCCATGTTCAACAGCCTCGGGAGCATCTATGGTTAACAAGAGTTAAACAGTTTAACAAAACAGGGTCAAAGTGGCTTATCAACTTGCACATAAACTGTTGGTTACCTCCACCAACATACCCTTAACATCTGCCACACACTCAAGTGTTTTTTGGAAGCTGTGATACAATCTGATAAATCAGTGGAATGAGGTGTGAAAGTAGCCTTAAGCACATGTATCTGTTCTCATACAAGAATGAGAAGTAAGTGAACATGCCCTGCCTGCTGCTTTTGTAGAGACAGTGACATTTTAAGAAGGTATTTTCCACATATGCTTCCAAAAAGAT